CCCATTCTAGGCCCAGCTGCCTTGCACGGTGGAGGGGTCTTTTAGCCCCGACCCTGCCCGTGGTCACCCTGAGGGCGCGGGGTGTTTCGGCCCAGGGCCATCCCTACCTAGTGCTTTGGTGTGGATAGGTATTGGCCATCGAGCAAGAGAGCTTTCTACATTGGGGGATGTAGCTCAATTTTTGAGTCGAAGGTGGGTAGTTTTAGGCTTTTCAAGGGCTTATGTCGTCAACGTCTTGGTTTTCTGTTGGTTTGCAGGCAATTGCTCCTTCCAATACTCGTGCAATCCAAGGAGGTTTATTGAGGCCTTCGCTTAGTTAATATTCCCCACTGTGCAACCCTCCCCTCTTCACATCAGAGGGGCAACCCTCCCAACTATTCGCCCCAAAGGGGGCCCATTTTTTCTTTTGTTTCCCATCAGGACACGCGTTGGTCATCTGGATTGGCTCGACAATTGTTATCACTGCTTGAGCCAGGTGCATAACAAGCCTTCACAAACTCAGTCAAGCATGGCGCACACCCCATTTTGAAACCAATACTTCCTTTCCCCATCTTCCCACCTTTTGCTATACGCCCCTTAGTCCTTTTGGGGCCCCTTTTTTCATCTTGCCCCACCTTCCTTCCCTATTTGTCACCCGTCCAACTCGGCCCTCCGGGGGAACGTCTCTTAGCTACCCCCATGTTCCACAGGGTTGGGCTTCTTTTGGAGTTGGCTCCCCTTCACGACGGTGACACCTACTAGCAGCCATTGTGGGTGATCCTAAGTCTACATTCCTCACGCTCGAGATTCGGAGAAGGTTTAACACCTCCCTCAGCTGATACTCCCCCAACCCTCTAAGATGTAGGCTGCAATACTCCCCCTCGCCCAAGCGCAATGCGTGGCGTGGATCTAAGAGGTCAGACCACCGGATTGGCATAGTATCACTCTCATAAATGGGTCTATGTAGGCAACCCTGCAAGCGTTAACAGAGTCGGCCCCTAAGGCAACGAACCACCAGCCCAGGTCATTCCTAAAGTGAGGCGTCGCCCCAACCTTGGGTGGACTCATGTGTCCCTTTGTCTCTTGTTTGGATAACTTAGACGAGATAGACGCAAAGGGGACCGAGAGTTGGAGTCCTTCAAACGGGTGTAGTTTAAGGAGGGCATCCGGGCTTGCATGGGTGCCTTGGGAGCAAGGGCTAAGTTTATTGCAAGTTCTCTTCCTTCTTATCAGAGTTCCTTCTCAAGTGTTCTTTGATTATGACCCTTGGTGTGCCCCAGCCTAATCCCATCTACTTAGCCTGTCCATTTGTCGCGCTCGCTTTACGTTCACACCTTTCCCCTTTTGTCAAGACACTCACCTGCACAAGACAAAGCGACATAGCACAACCCCCATTGGGAGTCGACACTTGTTCCCTTCTGCATGTCAAGGCTCTTTGCTTCCCCTTCCTCTTCATTCCATTTTTTATCCCTTCGTCCCTTTTCCGTCAATCAAGCAAACTAATCCATTTTTGTCACGAAGTCAGGGTGTGGTTCGAGTCCACTGACATTCTCCAAACCAGTTCCTTTTGTTTTCCAATTCCTCACAGGTCATTCCTCTTGGTGGCACAAGGGACCTACAACCCTTCCCTTGCCTTCTCTTTCCACTAAGTTGGGTAAGGCCAGCTTTATCCTTTGTCTCCATGGCAAGGATTGAGTTAGTTACAGTACGGCGGAAGAAGAGGAAAGCATGATAAGGGTGGTTAAAGTTTGATTGGGTGTTCTGTTTTATTTGGCTGTTCCCTTCCTCTTTTCTTTGCCTCTTTGCCTTTTGGCTGCGTGCAAGTGGGTCGATATGACACACGGGGGTGGGGGCAGCCGCCGCTCAACCTACGTCCACGTGGGCGGCCTTGTACGCAAGAGGTTCTGAACAGGGGGAGTTATAA